TTTTTTTTTTTTTTCAACGTTTATTTATTTTTGGGACAGAGAGAGACAGAGCATGAACGGGGGAGGGGCAGAGAGAGAGGGAGACACAGAATCGGAAACAGGCTCCAGGCTCTGAGCCATCAGCCCAGAGCCCGACGCGGGGCTCGAGCTCACGGACCGCGAGATCGTGACCTGGCTGAAGTCGGACGCTTAACCGACTGCGCCACCCAGGCGCCCCAATTCTTACTCTTTTTACATGCAATGAACTCTACTTTTAAATTCTATTTACTGTTTTAAATCACTGAGTTGATCTCCAATCCTTAAGTTGATTTTTTAAGTCCCACGATTAGGTCATGAGTTGAAATTTGTTATTATTTTAAAGGTTATTTATTTATTTGAGAGAGAGTGCATGCGCACATGAGGGCAGGAGGGGCAGAGAGAGGAAGAGAGAGAGAATCCCAAGCAGGCTGCAGGCTGTCAGTGCAGAGCCAGACAAGGGGCTCTATCCCACGAACCAGGAGATCATGACCAGAGCCAAAATCAAGAGTCAGATGCTTAACGAACTGAGCTACCCAGGAGCTCCCGCCATGAGTTGAAATTTATTATCACTGTCCTAGAAGACTATTTCACACCTTCTCCTGTATCTCAAAGCCTCTTTACACCTTCTCTCCTACCCTGATTCTCAGCCGCTGACCTGGCTTTCTACTTCACTGAGAAAATAGAAGTAGTTACAGGAGAGCTTCTTCAGGTCTTCACGGCACCCTTTTCCAGGCACCGTGCATCTTTTCCTACACACCTTCTTCCTTCCTGCTACGTGGAGGGCTTGCCCACACCTCACACTCCCATCGAAGGCCAAGCTCCTCCACTGGCACACCAGATCCTTCCTGCACCTGCTCAGGACATGGCTTCATAGACATCCTAGCGTTTCACAGACATCCCACATTTACCGTGTCCAAAATTGAACTCCCCCATCTTGGTAAGTGGCACTCCGTTGTTATAGCTGCTCAGGCCAATAAATGAATAAATAAACAAACAAATAAATAAAAACGTCATCCTTGATTTCTATTTTTCTTACAACATATTCAAACCATTATTACCTGCGGCGTATTGCCCCTTGAAATCATATCCAGAATGCAATCACTGTCCACCACAAGTAACCTAGGCCAGGCAACATGATCTCTCCCTTGGCTTCTTGCTATCACCCCCTAACTAGCCTCCGAGCTTCTGGTCTCATCTCCCCGTAGTCTATTCACACAGCCAAAAGGCTCTTTCAAAATGGAAGGCAGATCATGTCAACTTCCCTGACTGAATACTTATATTTTCCTGGAATAATAGTCAAAACATTTTCAGTAACCAAATGGTCATTCACGATTGCCTTCTGCCTCCACTAACCCCTATGACCACTTCTACCCGCAATGGAATGCTTATTTCTTTAATATACCAGGCCAAGTTGGCCTCAGAGCCTTTGCCCTTGTAATTCTCCCTCCCTGGAACACTTGTCCCCTAAATACCAG